GGCACATTTTATTCAGGAAAGAGGATACCTACAGCAAAGAGTGGCCTGAATCAGTGTGGACCACATGAATGGCATCCCTTGGGCATGGGCATCCATGTTGTGTCTTTCCAATATGCCCAAGCTAAACGCCAGACTGGGAATGGCACAGTATTCTCCATGAACAACTGAGGGACTGCATCTACCTCCTTCCTTGCCACAGGGTCTTCCATTTTCAGTCATGTCCCTGTCAAAACCTGTTATGTCAGAATATACTTTGACTTCTCTTGCTGTGCCTCCACCTGCAATGTGTCCTGACAGTTTTTTGTCACCCACTTGGTTGTTTTCCCCAACAGGTATATTCGGAGAGGGGGTTAATTCACCTGCTCTCGTGTACGCTTCCATCTTCCCATCCTGCCTCCTCTCATGCATACATCTTACTCTCCATTAGAGGAGTATCTTTAATTACACCTTTCTTTTCCTGACCTTTCTCTGCTTCCAGTACACTTACTGTTAGGTGTCATGAGAAACCTTTGCGTGTATAATGTCCTCTCCCAGAGCACTTTCTAACTCAGCTCCCTTCCTCCCTCCTGTCTTTTTCCCAGCAGCTTGCTCTTGGCACATGCCTCACTCCAGCAAATGTTTTCCCTGCTGAAATTCAAAAGGTCTCAATTTTCCTCTTTGCGGTGGAAGAAAATTGTTGATATTTTTCAACTTCTCCCTTCTCAACTTTCTTGGGAAATCTCAAAAGGATCACAATTTTTTCAAGTGAAGGTGGAGACCTTCAAGAGCGCGTTACTCTGGATGTGCTGCGGTTTGCCCAGGGGAAAGCGGAGAGCCACATTGTCTTAGAAAAGCCCAAGCAGAACCGAGTTAAGCTTAGCAGGAGCCTAAAGTGGCACCTAAAGGCCTCCCGCTGCTGCTGCTAAATCAGTCTGTTTCTACCGCTGTTTCAGAACACCTTTCCTGGAGTGCTAATGACACTAATTATAACTTGTTCCAGCATAAGGTGGAGAAGACTCAAGCCCTGTGCTTCAACAGCGAGCCGTGCAGAGGCAGCTAAACAGGCTGCGAGAGGCAGAGATGCCCTGCCAAAAAACAAGATTAACCAAGGAGCCACCAGGACATGGTGGTAAAGCACTAGAGCAGGTAAGTACCAGCCCTCAACATTCCCATCAATCCAAGGCTTCCAAGAGGAAGGGTGACTACTCGAAAAGCTCGTTTGGGTTAGATGCCACCAGCACATGGACAAAATCGGGGGGAGAATTCCCAGCACGGGAAGATTTCCACCATCTTGCAAAATAAAAACGTTTTATTCTGGATGTGCTGCGCTGCAGCAGATAACTTGCTAAGCTGCATACCACAAGAATTATGCCACTCTCCTCTTTCAGCAAGGTGTTAAACCTCCGCGTCCCAGCACTTACCTTGTCATTGTTCCTCAGAATCAGTGGCACTTCATAGACCTCGCAGGGGACGTATCTCTGAAATACCACCTCTGATGGGAAAGGCTGAAACAAGCTCTGTTCCAGGTCAACTGCTGAGAACTGGAGATACAAGACAGAGCAGTGAGAGGTTCAGCTGCTGGGAGAAAGATCTGTGAATGAGACTCCTACATTGATCCCCAGTGAAGTACACTCTTGGTGAATATGTCTGCCCAGCTCACTCTAGGGAGACAGTAGCTCACCCACTCACGTTCTGGGCTGATCAAAAGTTTCTGGACCACATTGAGCAGGCTCAAGCTAACAGGCTCTTCTGGTAGGTGTTTCTCCAGGTTTCCTTCTCCAAAGTACAAGGCACCACTTACCGCCAGCAGAGCCCTGTGTTAATGTGGTCACTGAGCTCCAGGGCTCTTACTGAGAGCCCCATGAACACTCATGGAGCAAGTGAAACATAAAAATTTGCATTAGACTCCATAGGAGACTGTTTTGGGATATCTTTACTGAGACAGACAGACCAAGTCCCATACATCCCCAAATAGCTTTTTTTGATAGACAGTCTAGAAACCAGTAAGGAGAAAACAGCACCGGAGGAGGTAAGGCCAAAAAGGAAGTAGCACAGTAGAATCACAGAATCATTAAGGTTGGAAAAGACCTTTAAGATCATCAAGTCCAACCATCAACCCAACACCACCATGCCCACTAAACCATGTCCCCAGGTACCACGTCCACACATTTTTTGAATGCCACCAGTGATAGTGACTCCTTGGGATGATGACTTCCCTGGGAAGTAGTAGTAGGAAAAACAAATGAGGTGAACACTGGATGGTCGTAAGGATCAGCTCTTTTCCCAGCATTACTGGGCAACTTGAGTAAGACTGGACTTGGTATCTCCTTTTTCCATCAGCTTTAAATGGATGCTTTACTGTATTCTGTTACTGCTGTTTTATTTAATACCACCACAGAAACACATCTGAAAATATCCACAAACAGCAAGTGTTTACAGAGCAGAGGCATTCCTTTGAGAAAATTCCTGCCTGCTTTGTCTCCCCTCTTCCAGCTGCACTGCTCCCACTAAAGACACAGGTCTTTAGCAGGTCTCCTTCTCCACAGAAATCACGGTCATGCTAAAGCCAGTAGCTGCAGCACACTGCCGGTTATTTGTGCACTCATCTGATGCGCTCCTGACCTCCTGTGCTGTCTGGGGCAGTCCTTAACCAATTTGTTACAGGTCTCTTGCAATTTTCCACTCTACAGCCTACCTCGGTAATCTACCCGTTCGGACTGTGTGTTATACTGAGCAGTCCGGTAAGAAAAGCAGCTTTAAACATACATCTAAGTAAACGTTGATCCAGATAAAGCACATCCACCCCACTCTTCCCCGGGGGCAATTCCTGCAAACCTAACACCCTCTTAAGGTTCTTCCAACCCAAAGCATTAATGCTACTGATTTTGTTAAACCTTGAGTAACTACCATAGGCCCTCAGTCTTCAAAGGCCAGCACCGCCACCGTTGAGGGAGCCCTATGACCCCAAGCATTTGACAGTGACTACATCAAAGCAAGAGGTGGCTATTTCAGAAGGAGGATGGGAAATGGCAAGCTTGTGCCCTTGTGTCCTGCCCCAGCCTTCCCCCAGCACCATGCTTCAGCGATGGTAGCTAAACTCCAGCAAATTTCAGAGATTTATACTGGCTTAGCACAGATCAGGACTTCAACATCTCACCGGGGAAAAACATTTTACCTTTCCCCCGGCAGAATGAACTCCACCCCCAGCAGCAGTTTGAAAGGACAACAGGACCTAGACACCGAGGTGTTAAACAAGCTGGAGGCAAGCCCATCACAAACAACGCACCTTCTTCAAATGTCACAAACAGCAAGGAAAAGGGCAGGAAAAGGCTACCTTTTGATGGGAGGTTTCACTCATGTCTAGAAGCTGGATAATCTGGGGCCGCCTCATCTCCCGAGTGCTGGCCAGCCTCTGCTCGGTGGTAAGAGACATCTCCTTCAGGAAGGCAGAGGGAGTCAGCTGAAATGCAAAACACCAGCAAGAGTTCCAGAAATGCCTTTGTTCAGAAAGGCTTTTCTTGTTCAAGTGCCACTGATAAATAATTTGTGATCATAGCCACTAGGATAGTCCTGGAAGTCCCGTAAGCTACCTGCTGAAATATTTAACATCAGTAAATTAATCATATGGAGCGGAACACATGCTCTAACCAAATCTGTCCCATTAGCTTCTCCTTCATGATTTGATGTGACATGTTTGGGGATTTGTGCTCTTCGGGTATTCGTTTCCTCTTTGGTTTTGCTGGATGGAGCCAGTGACCTTTGAAGAGAGCAGGGAGGAGTTCTCAGAAATCCCCTAACCCCACCCTTGTGCAACGCTCACTACCAACACGCACACAGCCACATCACTGCTGGGTCAATTGGAGGAAAGCAGAAAAGCAGCATTGTGCCAAGACTGAGGTGGAGGAGAATGAGTCCAAGTTTTAGTTCTGTCTTTTTAATTACTGTTTGTTCTCTCTCTTCTGGCCTCAGACCCCTCCACAGAAGTATACAGAGATATCGCCTCAACACACCTTCAACACTAGGTCATCTCCAGTCAGGTGAGCTCCAGTCGAAGGGGACATTTGTGGATGGGAAGGAGGAATTGCCCTGACTCCACTGATGTTTGCAGGGCTGGATCTGTGTTCCACATAGGATATGAGATACAACAACTGCTTCAGAACCTGTTCTATCCGGGAGCAGCCACGTCTCTCAAGTCTTCAGGCAGAGTTTGAGCAGTCACCACATGCCCAGCTGCCTGGGGGACAGGCATGGTCAGAGCAGCACTCACAAGCCTGCCTATGTGACAGAAGATATTACTGCCCATGCAATGAGGATGGAAAGCAGCGCATGCTCACACCTCAGCTACTCCAGTGCAATGCCCAGTCCACGTGTTTAACTTCACTCCAGTGACACATCCAGGCAAGATACTGGACTTTTCCCAAAGCAGCATGCAGTCCGGCCCCCACTGCACGACAATTGCCACCTCTGAGGGAGGCATGGCAGCAAAGAGATAGGGAGGTGGTGTCCGGCTTCACAGTGCTGCTAGACAACGGGAGGGACACAGAGGGGGTTTCCAGCCTTAACACGGTTCCTACCTGGCCCCAGCAGGTACTTACGGTCACAGGCTCCTCTGCCTCCCTGACCAGCTTCGGATTACGAGGTGCTATCACTTTGTTCTGGAACCCATGAGCCGTTTTGGAGGACGCCACAGTCCGATGGATCTTGCCGGTGGCCATGTCTCAGCTCACCTGGAAGGAGCAACGACGGGACTTTGAAAATCCAGAATCCCATTTACAGAATCACAGAATCATTAAGGTTGGAAGGGACCTTCGAGATCATGAAGCCCAACTGTCAACCCAACACCACCATGCCCCCTAAACCATGTCCCAAAGCACCACATCCACACGTTTTCTGAACACATTCATGGCAAACCTGAAGGATACACCTGTGTCTCCAGGCTGGGGCATCCTTCGTAAGCAGGTAACATAAGGCCTCACCACCCTGTTTCATGATTAGACCATATTTAAGTGGCAGAGTTAAGACCCATAGAAGTAAAACCCCAGAACAAACATCCCCTGAGCCAAAACAGCCTTTTGCTGCGGGCACAGACCCAGGAGCCACAAACACATACCAGGGCCTGCCGGCACTTCTCACCTTCCCCCCCGCTTCCATTACTTTTGGAACCCTATTTACTGGAATTATTAACCAAATCCCAATTAATATCCAAACTGTCCTTTATTATTCTTCAAAAGCTTTTCTTGGTGGGAACAGAAGGTAAATGTCACTTAGCAGCTTCATTTTGCGAGAGCAGCTGATCCCGATGTGACTTTGTGCCTGAGCCCAAGTGCTCAGTGTTATGAGCAACCTTAAACCCAGGGATCGCCGCTGCCCTGAGCATTAACAAAATCAGACCACTTTCCTCCTTTGCAAACCAAACGTCCACCCTTTGCGCAAGGAGCCTGGTGATGTTTCTAATGGAGCACAGAGTTCAATACTACTATTAAGAACTACAGTTTCTCAAGGCTAATTCGGTTGTTTTAAGTCACAAAAATTATCCAGCAAATATGACTCCTTCCAGGCATGAAATTACCACAGTGCCCAAGAGCATTTCTCCATGGAGAATGAGGGCCCTAATTTTCACTTATGAACACCCAAACTCAAGGCTCCCTACAGGCATGAGAGGCTGTAACAGCAGAAATAAGTATGAAACCATTAAAGGAACATGAGCAATTAGCGCAAATATAAATGCAACGTATGGGAAAGCAGGGCCACTTAGACATTAGCCTAATGGCGGTTCTTCTCCAGCATCCTTATCCTACAAGAAGGATGGGTTAACCGATGTACAGGCCATTCTTCTTCTGACCACTGGCCTGCCGACCACCTCTCTTAGTCCGTCAGGCAAGGTGGGTGTGCAAGAAAGGGCAAGAAGAGAAGACCACCCCAGAAAACAGGTCTCAAGCACTGACAAAAATCAAAAGATAAACATGTACAGTATTAGCTAAGCACTACTTTGGACTAGAAGTAATTTCCCCCATTTCTGGCTAACTGGACCAAGGAAGAGATGGATTTGCCCACTTTTTTCTGGGCCTTTGAAAGACCAGTGCTCTCGAACCCAGCTCTACCCTCAAATTTTTTTCATCCTGACATTAAGAAAGCACAGATCATATTCCTCTCTGCTTCCTTCTGTTCCACATCACCTTTGTGTGGACCCGCTGTACACAGCAAAACATCATCCATACAAATATGACCATTCCCTTCCCCTCCAGTTTTACCCACATCCTGCAGGGCAATAACTTCATGGTTACTTTTTTTACTCCCTTTACTCCCCAAACAGCTACAATATTGTACATTTGTGGTACTGGGCCCTCTACAGCATTAGGAAACAACAAGGTTGCCATTTCCTTTCATTCTTGCAAAAAAAACCAAACCACACAGGAGCACAGCGCTGTCCTATGGACATGAGGACGTGCTGCAGCAAGAGCTGGATTTAAAGCTGGAAATAACTATTTTTTGAGATAAATCTAATGGGGATGATACAACATTAATCTGGATTTCAGTATTTTATTATTGGGTCTTGAGAATAACTGGATTATTCGTTCCAATTTTCTAACTGTAATTTCACGTCACTTGAAATTAATCCTGTTCATCATGCCCGCAATGCTTATTTCCAGACGGTTTCCAACCTCCGCATCCCCCTCCCAGCCCCACGGCTCCACTTCCCTCGGGCCGGCAGGGATCGGCCTCCCGGATTAGGAGGAAAAGAGCAGAACGAAGAAATCTGCCGCGTCTCCCCGTAGAGGCAGGACAAAACAGCAGCCACGACTCAGCACACTTCCAGCCCGCCACCCCTGCCTGTGGGGGGAGATCTCCATCCTGCCCAGGTCGGACAGCCCTCTACCCACCCCAGAAGGGTAAGGAAGGATTCCAATTCCCTCTCCGCTCCAGGCTCGGGGCACAGACAGCTCTGGCACCTCAGCTTTAGGTTCAGAGCATGAATGCCCAGAGGAATCAGCTGTGCCAGGACACAACAGCCAAGACCACCTCGACAAGCAATGAAGAAATATGCCCAAAGCTGGGGTAGAAGTTCCTGACTTGTCTCAGGAAACCAAGATGCATCAGAGCAGGGTGCCAAGCTGAAGATCACCAAGGATATCCAAGCTTCAGCCTCTTCCCCAAGGCTCCCTTTTCCTCCAGTATCTGCAGCTAAGCTAGAAGTCTACCACCACTGCAAGTTGCACAGCCATTTTAGAACCCCTTAAAAACCCTTCTAACTCCCCAGACTCTTAGACCAGGTATATAGTTAAATCCTGCTGAGTATCACAGGGGTGCTGCAACCCTGCCAACAAAACTGCCTCCTTCCTGCCCGGTGGCCAGACACTACCTTAGGAGAGTGAATTCGTGCTTCTCCAGCAGGATTCACTTTGTGTAGTGCCCAGTCTGGCTTCCTGAATCACCACGGGCTATTTGGTGGAGCCTGGAGCCGGCCAGGGAACCGTTGGAGTGACCGTGGCTCCCACCAACACAGCAGTAACTGTCACTGGGCTGGTGGCTTCCGAGAGCCCAGCGGAACCTGGAAGGCAACCGACAGGACTCGGAAATCGGGCTGCCCAGAGTTGCCTCTCCTCAACTGTTACAGCCTTGTAGGCAGAGCAGGAGGATTCTTCCAGGACCTCAAGGAAGGAGAGAGTTCAGAGCTTGACATTAGGTAAAATCTACTCACTTCTCTGCTGCTGAGCTCCTCGTGCTCTGACACGGGCAGGTACCGCACTGGCTCAGGGTGCTGTGTGGAGAAGCTTCTCACAACAGCAGCATCTCATCACGTAAGCAGCATGATAGGAAAGGTCCAGTAACCCAGTGAAGAGTGGAAGTTTACCACCTTAACCAGTTCCACACCAAAGGAACGGATGCATGTTCAAGCATTTGTGGCTTTGGGATTTCTTCATCTCTAGGCTGGAGTGGAGAACATGCCTTCTACCCTTAACTTTCTCAGCATCCTAATCAGTGAACTTGGTCTCTACTCTGCTGGTTTGCAATGCCACTGAAATGCCTGGGTCAGGTTAGAGCCTTGCAAATCACTGCAGCCCACCTATTTCTTAAACATCTCGCTCCGCAGCGAACGACTGCGGCAGTATTAGAAAATACACCTCAGAGCAGCATTTGTTAATGTTCCATGAGCTTCAGATAAATTAATTTAGACGCTGCAGACAAGCTAATCATTTCTTGGTTAAGGATTAAAGAAGTTTCCATGCTGACTTACAAAGTAAGAGTTTAATTTCTATTTTGCTCGCCCAGGGAGGACCCTAATGGCATCAATGCAAGACAGCGGGCAAATCGCCATGTTGCTGCAGCTCCAACAATGCCTTTGGGGGTGTCCTCTGTTGCTGCACCTCGTGAATACCCATCTGATGAGCTTGTTCCAATTAACCATGCAAACATATATGCACACACCAGCCAAGGACGCCCAACTTACACAAGCGTCGCAGCTACCAGAGAGCTTCACGCATTTTCAGCGCGTCATTCGCTATAAACAAAAGCTTCTCATGAGAGCCTCTGCCACAGGCGAGCCAAATCATCACATCTGCTTGGCAGGGAACTAGGAACTCTTAGTTTGAAAACCAGCATTCATTATTTGTGGGGTTTACAATGCAGTCAGGAAGGATCCAAGCCCTGAAAACCAACAGGCTCTCTCCAGCCAGCCAGCCTGTGGAAACTCACTCCAAAACATCTCCCCACACAGCGTCCAGCCACAAATCTGAGTGGAAATGGGAGAGCTCAGGCAAAGAAACCTCAGATGTGACACCCTTGTGCGCTCAAGGCACCAAGACAGAAGTGCTGTAAGGAAACTGGATGGTGGGTGATGCTTCCCATCTCAGAAGGCAGAATTTAGAGACAGATGTCAAGGTGAGACCTATCAAGTCTCATGCTTGGTATGAGGTGCACTCACAGGGCTGCCACCTTGTGCTCCCTCCAACCAGCTCCAGCACCTAAAAAGCAATTGTAGAGCCTCATCTGGCCAGCAGAGAAGCAGCTCCTGCCTGCTACAGGCAAATAGTACAGGTTTCATGCTGCCAGAGGAGCCTCGGGAGCAAGGGAAACCACTGGCTGCAAAATATCTTCAAGAAGCTGCATGGTAGAAGTGACACAAAACCCACACAAGGCTTGCAAGCACCTCAGCACCCCCAATGCCAAACCTGATGCTGGTACTTTGATCCACTCTCATCAACCTCAACAACCCACGCTTGGCTGCATTCCTG